CACAACTTTATATATACTGCTATTCAATAAAATGTTTTAAAAACAAACTTTAAAATAGATTTGCATGTGTCAGCAGATAAGTTAAAATTCTGTGCAGCTTTTACAACTTATTTTTAAGTTGGAATATTAAGTTGGAATTATTATAGCTTTGAATACAGGCCTGTAATCCCAGCCTTTTGGGAAGCCGAGGCAGGCAGATTACTTGAGCTCAGGAGCGTGTGACCAGCCTGGGCAACACAGCGAGACACCATCTCTACCAAAAATAAAAAGTTAGCCGGGCATGGTGGTGCATGTGGTCCCAGCTACATACCTGTAGCTTTTGATTTACATTTGTGACACTATTTCAGTTGTGGGTATTAATTCTTGTCTTGTATAGACCTTCAAGGGAAAGCTAATCTGCATGGAATTAAAACAAACTGGATTCTTTTCTTCAACATTCCACCCAGTTTTTAATTAAAAAATAATCATTTTTTCTTGAGATGGGGTCTCACTCTGTTGCCCAGGCCGGAGTACAGTGGCACCACTCCAGTACTGCAACCTCTGACTCCTGGCCTCAAGTGATCCTCCCACCTCAGCCTCCTGAGGAGCTGGGACCCCAGGCACACACCACCACACCTGGCTAATTTTTGTATCTTTGTAGAGGTAGGGTCTCACTACATTACCCAGGCTGGTCTCGAACTCCTGGACTTAAGCAATCCACCTATCTTGACCCCCAAAAGCGCTGGGATTACAGGCATGAGCCGCCGCTCCTAGCTTCATTTTATTAAGAGAGTTGTTCAAAACATGCCAATGATGACGAATTAACAGAATGACAGAAAATTCCAGTGACACCATAGATCGCCGCATTATGAAAATGTATTGGTTTGTGCATCTGCTGGTCACTGGAAATTAAATTATCATACAAACAAAGGCATGGTAAGTGGGATGTGGCAGCCGGTCACTAAGAGACCCGAGGCCTCAGTTTCTCAATCTGGTTAACCACCAGCCTGGCCAACATGGTGAAACCCTGCCTCTATCAAAAAAATGCAAAACTTAGCCAGGCGTGGTGGCTGCAGTCCCGGCTACTCGGGAGGCTGAGGTGGGAGAATTGCTTGAACCCGCGAGGCGGAGGTTGCAGTGAGCTGCGATTGCACCACTGTACTCCAGCCTGAGCAACAAAGCAAGATCCTGTCTCAAAAATAAATAAATATAAATAGTAGTAAACACAATCCACATTCACCTGGAGGGCTGATGTTTTCTTAGAATTAAGAACTCTATGAGGCCGGGTGCAGTGGCTCAAGCCTGTAATCCCAGCACTTTGGGAGGCCGAGACAGGCAGATCACGAGGTCAGGAGATCGAGACCATCCTGACTAACCCGGTGAAACCCCGTCTCTACTAAAAAATACAAAAAAAAAAAAAAAAAACTAGCCGGGCGAGGTGGCGGGCGCCTATAGTCCCAGCTACTCGGGAGGCTGAGGCAGGAGAATGGTGTAAACCCGGGAGGCGGAGCTTGCAGTGAGCTGAGATCCGGCCACCGCACTCCAGCCTGGGTGACTGAGTGAGACTCCATCTCAAAAAAAAAAAGAAAAGTAAGAACTCTATGAAAAGTATCATAGGAGGGCAGCAGGAGCCTACCAAAGGACAGGTGCTTCACACATTAAATGGATAAATGTCCATTCATTCAACAAAGACGCATGCCTACTATGTGTCAGGAACTGTTCTAAGTGCTTGGAATAAAACAAAAACAAAGCTCATTGCCTTGTAGAGCTCACATTCTAGTTGGGGTGGAAAGAGAGGGACAGAAACATAATAAATAAATATATCACATAGCCTATTCTAAGGAAGTGTTATGGGGGAAGGTAATGTAGCCTAAGGTGGGGCTGGGAGATGGATGGAGGTGTCTGAAATCTGAAAGAGAGTTTGAGCTTGCTTCCTTGAGGTGACATTGAAAGGCTTCTGTGACATCTTCCCTTTTGCTTTCTGTTTAGCAAGATTCCTGTAGGTAGGACATCCCTGGATGCTGCCATGCCCGTTCTTCCTCCACTTCCCAAGTTTTTTGTTTTGTTTTGAGATGGAGTCTTGCTCTGTTGCCCAGGCTGGAGTGCAGTGGCACGATCTTGGCTCACTGAGACCTCCAACACCCTGGTTCAAGCGATTCTCCTGCCTCTGCCTCCCGAGTAGCTAGGATTACAGGCACGTGCCACCACACCCAGCTAATTTTTGTATTTTCAGTAGAGACGGGGTTTCACCATGTTGGCCAGGAGTGTCTCGATCTCCTGACCTCATAATCTGCCTGCCCACCTCGGCCTCTCAAAGTGCTGGGATTATAGGCTTGAGCCACCGCACCCAGCCCTACTTCCTAAGTCTTTAACAGTTCTTCTAGGAAGGCTGTGGCTACTCTTAATTAAGGGTTTTTTTGAACTTCTTCCTCTACTATGAGAGCATATACTCATCAGAAAACCATGCAAAATCACAAGCAAGCTTTTGAGGGCAAATTATGGGCATGCTATAAAGTGTAGACAGGGGAGGGATTTTTGGCTGAACTCTAATTAGTAACAGCAACATTACTTGACATTTTGGGGTTTATAACATCATTTGCTTGAGAATTAGTAAAATACACACATCATCCTGGGAGTTAACATGGCTCTCCAGTAATCATTTGCCTACATATACATTTTAAACATTTCAGCAAATGTGTACACAGCATATATTTAAGGATATTTGATACTGGCTACAGAGGATCACGCTACTTTATAATTCCTCCTTTTCTCTAAAGTATTCCTTTATTTCAAAATCAGAGAAACCTGAGGTTTTTTTGTTTGTTTTCTTGTTTTTTTTGAGGCAGAGTCTCGCTCTGCCGCTCAGGCTGGAGTGTGGTGGTGTGATCTCAGCTCACTGCAACCTCTGCCTCCTGGGTTCCCGCCATTCTCCTGCCTCAGCCTCCTGAGTAGCTATGACTACAGGTGCCCGCCACCAAGCCCGGCTAATTTTTTGTATTGTTAGTAGAGACGGGGTTTCACCGTGTTAACCAGGATGGTCTCAATCTCCTGACCTCGCGATCCGCCTGCCTCGGCCTCCCAAAGTGCTGGGATTACAGGCGTGAGCCACCGCGCTCGGCCCTGAGTATTTTTTTAAAAACTAAAACCCATACTAGCAAATCATTAAAAAAATCATTTGCAAGTGGCTTTTGTAAACACACCTGGTTGGGTTGCGTTTCTATTAGTAAAATATGGTAGAGGGTTAGGTAACATAGAGGACACCTCTTCTTAAAAGCACTAGATTCATCAACACTGCCCCTAGATTTTTGCCATATTAAGCTTAAATTGTTTTCAGCTTGAACATCACGGGGCGGGGCGGGATAAGGGGATGAACCCAATACAGAGACGGGGGAAGGTTTTTCAGACTCCTGAATATAAAATTTCACTTTGCATTGCCTGCATGGCCAAAGCATAGGCTAGCAGTCCTCACTATTTCATAGATGACATAAACTTGTGGTCTGATGCTGTAAATATCCTACCACCTGGACATTAAAAAAAAAAAAAAGGTCCCAAAACACTAACAAGGAAATAGTAATTAAAATTAACAAACATTTAGTGAGCTTTCCAGTATGCTTTCAGACACCTGGCAATGGAAAACAATCAGGTACTGGTATTTAATCTCCATTTACATTGCTTTACGTCTACAAATACATATAACCAAAATGATGAAATCCACACTTTTTCCCTGCCGTTTCTGTTCTTTGGGTAATACGACATGCCCAAGTGGTTGGCATTTGTGACGCTGCAATTCGCCTTGGTACGGTCCCTCTAAGGAGTTGCTAATAAAAGTCTACGTCAGGAAGAAGCAGGAGAAAAAAAAAAAGCAGCATTTAACTCAGAACACCTGACTGCTAGTCTCAAGTTTCAATCGCAGCTCAGACTGGGAAGATACACAGGGCTCTGTTCTTGGAGGGAGGGTGGAAGGTAGTGGTGGTCTGTTTTTGCACCCCAGTGGATATCAGACTCTGCCTCAAATTTGGAATGGCCTGTGTTCCTCAATTACAAAGTTTTTCCTTCACTGACAGTCAACAGGGCAGCTACTACTTACTTCCCAGGTCTGAGTCTGGCAGAAAGAACGTTTTATTTACATACTTGGTCAGCTCCCGACACACCTCATGCAGCAACGTCTTCCGGGTCATTTAAATAGTAGCAATCTCAGTACAAATGTAGGATTTCAACATTCGAATTTCCCAGATGTCTAAAGATCGCCCTCTATGAAGGCAACATACGAATAGGAAGAGTTTTTGGTCACAGTGACTGAGCATCAAAAACACTGCGTCAACTGTCTCTACTCTCCCTATCTGTCAGGCATAATTTATATGTGACAGTATACACTTTGTGTTAAGATAAACAGAATGGATAATCTCTTGGATTTCAATACATAACAAAAATGTTCATGTTCTTCTCTTACTTTCATTCAACAAAAGTTAAGACTCCTCTGATTTTAGGAATTCAGACCTTGAAACCCCAGAAACTAAAATTTTACGGTTAAAAAAGTCTATCAGAGAGACCAAACTTCCTGATTCAAGCACCAGGGACAGAAAAAAAGATAAAACGCACCAACCAACACCGACCATTTATAATCTTAAACATGCCTATACACGAACTTAGAGAACGTCAAAGTTTCAAGGGTTCAAGATGCCTAGGCTGAATTAAAACAAAAGTTGTTTTGTGTTCTATTAATAGCAGATGATTAACATATCTTATTTCACCTGGAATTCATTTATTAGTACTTAAACTGGCCACTAATCCTAAGTCTCTGTCTCAGGAAAAATTCTCTCCTAACACATGCAAGTTAAGAGACCGGCCATGAATGCATTCCTTAAGGTTAGGTGAATTTCATTAAAACCTCGGTTGTTCTTTGACTCCAAGAACCTCACCAAATAACCCATATATAAAAGCCAAGTTCAAACTGAAAGCTGGGAGAGGACGGGTCTAAGGGGGAGGGCGTTTCCCTGGAGAACGCCCAGAGCTCGGCTCACCTGGCGATCCTAGTAATAGGGGAGTTTCACCCCCACATTCTTGGGCGCTTTCTTTTCTCAGAGGAAACTCGAGCTTGTGTCTTTGGTCCCGGAGGCTTAAGCCCGACAGCCAGGCCAGCGCGGGTCACTGATTCCAAGAAGTTGGGAGGAGGACGTGGGCCCCCATCGAAGCACAACCGACCCCTCCCCGATCTAAGTGCACTGGTTGTAAAATGTGGAGCCGGTCAGGGGATGGGGGGCGGTCTCCAGCGCTCTGAGGGTCAGGGAAGAGGGGATGGGACAGGGGAGGAGAAGGGACAGGGGAGGCGGAGAAGGACCAGGAGTGAAGGGGGAGACACACGGGGGAGGAGAAAGAACCACAAGGAGGGGGAGGGAGAGGGAGGAGGGGGAGAGAAAGGAGAGAAGGGACAGGGGAGGAGGGGGAGACACACGGGGGAGAAGGAAGAACCAGAAAGAGGGGAGCGACAGGGAGGAGGGGCAGGGGAGGAGAGAGAGTGAATGGGGAGCGGAGGGGCAGAGGGAGAGAGGTACGGGGGAGGGAAAGAGGGAAGAAGCACAGGGAGGAGGGGGAGGAAAGGAGGGGAAAAAGTGGGGGGCAGGGAAGGAGGGGGGAAGTGGGTGGGAGGGAAGGAGGGGGAAAAGTGGGGGGTAAGGGATTGGGAGGGACAGGGAGGAGGGAGAGGACCAGAGGAGGAAGAAGAGGGGCTGTGGAGGGCCAGGGGAGGAGTGGGAGAGACGGGGCGAGGTGGAAGGACGGGGACGAGGAGGGGAAGGGGAGCTGGGGGGGGGGGGGGGGGGGGGGCTGGGAAAGTACCGTCCCGCGTAAAGTCTCCTTCTGACCCCCGAGGTGGAAAGCCCTGACTTCCCTGAGCCCTGGGCTTACCCGGTAGGTGCTCTCCGTGAGCCGGTTCACCTCCTCGGGCCCCCGGGACATGGCTGCGGCCGCCGGGCGAGCAAGCGCGGGAGAACGCGGCTGGGCCTCGTGGCCGCCGGACTCCGGGCAGCGGGAGCGCCGAGGCGCGACTAAGGGGCTCGGGAGGGTTGGCCGCCGCCGCAGCCGTCGGCCCGAGAGTGCCCGCGCGCGCCTCCGCTGCCAAAATGTCAAAACTTGCGGCGGCGCCGCCCTGGCCTTCTGCGAGGAGCGGAGGAGAAGCTGCCGGACGCCGCCCGAGCAAGCGGGGCGGGCCGGGCAGCCCCACCTGAGGCGGGCGGGGCGGACGGGGGCGGGGCCGCGGGGCCGGAGGGGCGGGGCGGCCCCACCTGAGGCCGCCTGGTGAGCGGGGAGGAGGCGGGGCCAGGCAGCTGGAATGGGCGTAGCCGGAGGGAAGCGGGCCCCCGAGTGGGCGGGGTCACCCCACCTGGGGCGAACAAGGCAGGGAGGCCACGGTGCGCCCCCTTGCGGCCCTCCCAGAGCTCCGGAGACATAGGGCCGGAGACCCTGGAGTGGGACCGAGTGTGGAGTGGGCTGCTCGCTTTGCTGTTTTGCTAGGGCAAGGGCAGCCTGGGGGTGTTTAGACTGTAGTCCTGGAACCCTTGTTTGCCTCGCCTGGTGCTGACCCCGAGGACCCCGAGGCCCACGCCCTCCATGAGGGCTTCGTCTATCCCTGCCTTTTGGGGACCAAGGGAAGAGGGGCCACATTCCCCACTTGTATTAATTTCCCGGATTGATTTCTCCCTGCCCTGCCGCTCACTGACCTCAAAAGTTAAAGGGACCCGTGGGGGACATGGGCCCTCCTAGGTGGAGAAAGCGGGCTGCCACTTGCAATTTTGAAAGCTCCTGATATATCAAAAAACTAATAAATGCCAAGATCTAGTTACCGAAATGTTAGTACTTTTTTTTTTTTGAGATGGAGTCTCGCTCTGTCGCCCAGGCTGCAGTGCAGTGGCGCAATCTCAGCTCGTTGCAACGTCTGCCTCCCGGGTTCAAGTGATTCTCCTGCCTCAGCCTCACCAAGTAGCTGGGATTACAGGCGCCCACTACTCCAGGCTAATTTTTTTTGTAGTTTTAGTAGAGACGGGGTTTCACCATGTTGGCCAGGCTGGTCCCGAATTCCTAACCTCTCAGGTGATCCGCCCGCCTCGGCCTCCCAAAGTGCTGGGATTACAGACGTGAACCACCGCGCCCAGCCCGGAAGTACGTTTTTAAATTTTACATTAACAGCGACCTTTAACTCAATGCAATATAACCGTGTTACTCACAAGATTGTTGCAGGGTTTAGAAGACCACCTCAGCTGAGGTGTTAGGGAAGCCTTTCTTCCTGTCATCACTCAAACTCTGGAGGTGTGTGGCTCCTGGGCTCCCTATTTTGTCTCCACCCCAGCCTCAGCCCTGCCCAAAGGTGATGCAGCTGCCTTCTCTGGGCCTCTTCCAGGAGTATGTATCTTGGGCTAGGTGACAACCTTCTCCCCAGTAAGAACCACTACTTAGCACCTGAGCCCCTCACCCAACAAGGGCGGGAGGTCTTATTCTGATGTTTTAAAACCTCTGGACTTGGTGGTTCACGCCTGTAATCCTAGCACTTTGGGAGGCCAAGGCAGGTGGATCACTTGAGGTCAGGAGTTCGAGACCAGCCTAGCCAACATGGTGAAACACCACCTCCCCCGCCCCCACCGCCGCGTCTCTACTAAAAATACAAAAATTAGCCGGGCGTGGTGGCGCGTGCACCTGTAATCTCAGCTGCTCGGGAGGCTGAGGCAGGAGAATTGCTTAAACCTGGGAGGCGGAGGTTGCAGTGAGCTGAGATAGTACCATTGCACTCCAGCCTGAGGGACAAGAGCGAAACTCTGTCTCAAAAACAAACAAAAAACTTCTATCTGGAGGCCAGGCAGGATGGCTCATGCCTGTAATCCCAGCACTTTGGGAGACCAAGGCAGGAGGATTGGTTGAGTCTAGGAGTTCCAGACCAGCCTAGGCAATATAGGGAGCCCACTCCCATCGCTACAAAAAATAAAAATAAAAACATTAACCAGGTGTGGTAGTGTGCATCCGTAGTCCCAGCTATTCCGGAGGCTGAGGTAGGAGGATGGCTTGTGCCCAAGAGGTGGAGGTTGCAGTGAGCTGTGATTGTGCCACTGCATTCCAGCCTGGGCCACAGAGTGAGACTCTGTTTCAAAAAACAAACAAAAATGCCAAAACGTCTATGTGAGTGCAATTGCATCTTTTATGGGCTGTTAAGATGTGGGACTTCTGTCCGGGCGCGGTGGCTCATGCCTGTAATTCCAGCACTTTAGGAGACTGAGGCAGGCAGATCACCTGAGGTCAGGAGTTTGAGACCAGCCTGACCAACATGGAGAAACCCCGTCTATATTAAAAATACAAAATTGGCCGGGTTTGATGGTGCATGCCTGTAATCCTGGCTACTCAGCAGGCTGAGGCAGGAGAATCGCTTGAACCTGGGAGGCTGAGGTTGTGGTGAGCTGAGATTGCACCATCGCACTCCAGCCTGGGCGACAAAAGCAAAACTTTGTCTCAAAAAAAAAAAAAGGAAAAAAAAAAGAAGAAAGATGTGAGACTTCTAAACTAATCTTGTGATAAAGTTCGCTAGGAAACATACACAATGAAGGCACTGTGTGGCCCAGATGGGAACACAGATGGGAACGCCAAGAGGATGGACTTAGAACGGAAACCATCACTTGGACTTGGGGACCATTTTATCAGGTTTTGCAAGCTATGAAACGTATCATGCGGCCGGGCACAGCGGCTCATGCCTGTAATCCCAGCACTTTAGGAGACTGAGGCAGGCAGATCACCTGAGGTCAGGAGTTTGAGACCAGCCTGACCAACATGGAGAAACCCTGTCTCTACTAAAAATACAAAAAATAGCCGGGCTTTGTTGGCAGGCACCTGTAGTCCCAGGCACTCGGGAGGCTGAGACAGGAGAAGCGCTTGAACCCGGGAGGCGAAGGTTGCAGTGAGCTGAGATCCTGCCACTGTACTCCAGCCTGGGCAAGAGAGTGAGACTCTGTCTCAAAACAAACAAGCAAACAGAAAAAAATGTATCATGCTTAGGAACCAAAAGGTTACGTGTTCCTGATGTCGGGGGAAATAACACATCGGTCTCAAGTTTCTGGCGATGGAAGCAGGTGCCTCCTTCTTTAACAGATTTACAGTCTTTAGTTCATGAGGTTCGCCAACTGGGTTTCACTTCCCATATGGGAGATGCATTCATGACTTTATAATTCCTACCATTATGTGTTCAGCTCTGTAAGTACGTCTGTTGATTTTTATTGAAACTTGAAAATCGCTGCCTTAATTTTGCAGATCACCTTTTGTGTTAGAACTTCCTTCTATGTCTTCCGATGAATGAGATCGTTTCACCCTCTGCTGCCAGGTGGTCACTTGAGGAGCTGGAAAGAGAGCAGAGGCTTGACCTTTAACACCCCCACAGCTCTGTGGTGTGGTTAAGAGCCAGAAAAGACAGAGAATGACAAACCACCGTAAAACCCACAAGTGGGTGGACGCAGTGGCTCATGCCTGTAATTCCAACACTTTGGGAGGCTGACGTGGGCGGATCACCTTAAGTCAGGAGTTCGAGGGCAGTTGGGCCCACATGGCGAAACTCTGTCTCTACTAAAAATACAGAAATGAGCCAGGCGTGGTGGTGTGCGCCTGTAATCCCAGCTACTCAGGATTACAAGGAGAATCGCTTGAGCCCGGGAGGCAGAGGTTGCAGTGAGCCGAGATTGCGCCATTGCACTCCAGCCTAGGCAACAAGATCAAGACTCCATCTCAAAAACAAACAAAAACAAAAACAACAGCCAACCTTCAAGTATCTCAGATGGCCCAATTTGATTGCTGACGTTGGAATTTGATCAAAAGACCAGGTTCATAATTGTATGCAAATCTTCCACCAGATACACAGTCAGAGTTAATACTCCTTTATGGAAATAATTTTCTAGCTGTGACCAACCTGCTCCTTTAGAAGTCTTTGAAAGTGGTCAATTCCTGGTCTGTAACAACATTAAAGGGTAGTGCAGCCCAGGGGCTGGGTGCGGTGGCTCATGCCTATAATTCCAGCACTTTGGGAAGCCGAGGCGGATGGATCACCTGAGGCCAGGAATTCAAAACCAGCCTGGCCAACATGGCAAAACCCTGTCTCTACTGAAAATACAAAAATTAGCCGGGCTTGGTGGCGCGTGCCTGTAATCCCAGCTACTCAGGAGACTGAGGCAGGAGACTCACTTGAGCCTGGGAGGCAGAGGTTGCAGTGAGCCAAGATTGCGCCACTGCATTCCGGCCTGGGCAACAGAGTGAGACCCTGTCTCAAAACAAAACAAATCAAAACAGAAACAAACAAACAGAAAGGTCAGGCATGGTGGCTCCTGCCTGTAATCCCAGCACTTTGGGAGGCCAAGGCG